GTTCCGTTCTTTTCCGTTCTACATTCTATTGAATTCTTTCTATTCTAATCCGTTCTCTTTTGATATGTATTTTATGCTGTTCTGCGCTATATTTCGTTCTGCTTTATTCTACATTCTATTTTCTTGTGTTATATAGTTTGCTCTTATATATTTCGCTGTGTTCCGTATATTATACAAGTTCCCTATATTTCTCTTTCGTTCTATATTTTATTCTGTTGTGTTTGTTGCAGTTATCTTCTATTCTATTCTACATTCTACTGAATTACTTCCATTCTGTTCTGTTCTTTATTTCATTCCGTTGTATTAGGTCTTCTATTCTGTTTAGCCATAAGTAGCATTATTATTATTTGCAAAGTCAAATAATGTTATTAGTGATTAAAAAATAAAATTTTAAAATGATTTTGTGATTGCCAGTAATTTTTACCCGGCCCCTGTTGGGTTTGTTTGTATGCATAACTTCAGAGAGGCTGTCGTCTGTCTTCAGAAAGTCTGTGCAATCATTTAAGCTTCAAAATCCTGTTATAAACAAGCCTTTAACTTTTTTACTTCCGCATCGGTAATTTAATCCGTTTAATGACATTAATACTCAAACTATCGTTTGGCATTTTCCGGATACGGCTATCCTGTTGACTGCTGCCAACATGCGAAAAGAAAACTCATTATTTGCCCGTTATCCGTAATTCAGTATGGAATTCGACTATTTACCTAGCGTCTCTGCTTACATACGTTGTGTTTGTGTATGTTTTTGTAATATAAGCTGACATTATGCTTGATTCGGATTATAATTATTTTTTTATTATTCTCTTTAATATTTTTAATGAGGATTAACAAGTTAAATATTTTATGCTTTTCCCATTGGCAATATATTGCTTTTGAATCGCTGAGTTTGTTAATCCAAGATTCACTCAGTTCGCACAAAACATGAAAGGCAAAAAAAAGTCTGAACAAACTTCAGATTTTAAAGTCGCCCCCGAGGATTTTAAAACTTTAGTGAGACTCTCTTTGTATATTTTTTTATATTAACAAATATGCTTGTTTATGTATTCATATTGCAAATATATAATCCCTTGAAAACCACTTACTAACCCATTGAATTCGCTTTCATAACAGGAGTTGGTTTACATCTACATCTCAGAAATTTTTCACTTGTAGTTTACAAACCCAATTTATTGAATCAATGTAATGAATAATTACAAGCTAAAAGATTGTAAATTAAATTCTAAAAGACAGTTCAAAAACCTAATTCAACCCTGCACTGATATCTGCAACAACTGATGATAATACTGTTAAATAAAAATCTGGTATGGACACCGCGTGACTTCCTTGTACGGCCTATTAAATTATACACATGTTTTGCAGCATTTCATTTAAACCTATTTCCTAGAATTTCATTAGAGATATATTTCTCATTCAATCAATTCATTTCTCACAAGGCAAAAATGCATAAAAAGCTCAAAACATCATTAAAAATTTGTTGTAAAATACAGGAAAACCTAAAACACTAAATACATTAAAAAATTTCTTTTTTTCGATTAAAATTTGAATTTTTACGTAAAAACAGGCAAATCGACCACCGGGCAGGAAGGCAAAAATTTCGGTGCACAACAATTTGGAGTTAGCTTTCGGCACCTCTTGGAGAAAAAAGACACCGAAATATGTGCATCAACAGACTTAATTCACTATACTTCTAAGAGTTCCAGATGTAAAGCAATTAATTCCCACGTTAAGCTTAGCGAGACTTACACTTTTAAATTGTTGATCATTCTACAACTAAGGCATTCAGATTAACTAAAGGCATGAAATCCTTAACCGGAACTTAAGAACAACGTAATTCAATTACTTTTAAAGAAAAAACGCACAATTTACCAATGCATGAGAATAAGAAAACAGGACTCACCGAGCCTGGTAAGAGGTGTATATGTTACCGTGAAAGACCGAAATCGGAGAAAGTCGACTTTCACCGGAGAATGTCAACATTCACCAAATACGTCGGTGAAAGATCCAATATCTCTTTACATTCTTGTACATTCGAACCCTCACCGGTGTATGTCGACAATCACAGATATGCTCTGGTGTAGGTCGAAAGAGAGGAGTATATGTACACGCTGCCATTCCAAAAGGAAGTGTTCCACAAATAAATGCAGTTGTAAAAGCAAGGGCCTCTTGTGCAATTCAAAGTGTCATAATAGTTTAAGTTGTTGTAATAAAAAAGATTTGAATCACATAATTTAGTAAGTTTTTAACTCCTATTATTTTCCTTTCTCATTTTGAATGTACTGTGTGTTTTAAGTTCTTATATTCTTAAGTTCTTATTCTGAGTCTCAAGTGCGTTTTTTCGCGAATGAATTACGGAGAAGGAAATATAATATTCTTATATGTTCAAATGGTGAATGTCGACATTCACCGGTGTAAGTCAGAAATAAGAGTATTTGGAAAATATTTCAGATATACACCAAGCGACTATGTGAATGTTGACATTCACCGGTGAAAGTCGACATTCTCCAGATTTCGGTGTTTCACCGTAACATATACACTGGTTATCAGAATTAAAGGATGATGAGAAAAAATATAATCCGTAAGTTAATGGTGCAGCTAATTGCCCAATGCTATAATTATTTATGTTTATTAAATAAAACTGAACACAAACTTGCACTCCGTGCATAGGTTAGCGCCGGAAATATGCAAATTAGATGATAGACAATGTGGTGTGTAATGGACGCATGTTAGAATTCTGGTCTGGAGTGTTGTTTAAAGTCAATGTGGTTTCGGAAGTGATCGGTATTCAGTAGTTATGGCTCAAAGGCGTCATGTAAGTGAAGGTCAAAAACTGGCGAATAATTGGTAGAATCGAGTGAGGTCAAACACTGATGGAGGTCGCCGAAAATTTAATATCGCTCAAAATGTCACGTCAAGAGTTTGGAGCCGCATTTTAAGCTTTGGATCAGTTGAGAGACAGCCTGGTCAGTGGCGACCAAGAGCAGCAACTGCATAAGAAGACCGTTTTCTGTTGTTGTCGGCTCGAAAAAAACGCGAAGCTACTACAAGAGATTTGGTTTTAGACCTTTGGGCTTTCCTTTATGCCACAGGGAGCTCGAACTAACCGTTCTACTAGAGTTTTTGCTTATGGGTGACAGTACTTGGCCTTACCGAGCATATGCGGTGTCTGCATAGTTGCAGTCAGAATATACCACTTGAATGGATTGGCCGGCTTACCTGACTTGCACCCGATTGAGCATCTGTGGGATGCCTTAGAGCTCCAAATTTCAATACACCAAATTCCTCTCTGAACCCTCCAGGAACTGAATAGTGCACTTTTAGAAAAGTCGCGTGCAGCTCTACAAGACTTGATCATAGACTTTAACTACAAGACTTGATCATAGACTTTAACAAAGTCTATGAAATCAAGAAGTGAGGTGTGCATATCTGTCCAAAGTGACCATACACCATATTAAAGAAAAAAGAATTTCCAAAGGGGTGACTTAATTTTTCCATCATTTTCCAATTTCTGTAAATTTGCTTTTAATTTGAATATTTTGCGAATAATCAACTGCCGGACATCATAATTTATGTTAACTAATGCTTTTGTGCAAATTTCTATGAATAATTTTTCATTAAATATCAGTTACGTTTCATTTCTGTCATTATCCTTTAATTTTGATTAAATTATTGTTAATCGGTTATTTTTTGATTAAAAATGTTAAGATAAAAAATATGTAAATTAAAAATATAATATTTACTAGCGCTAAGCCCTTAATTCTCCCTGTCTATTCCAAGAACAGCAATGCCTTTTTCTGGACTACGCCGTTTCTAGATCATTCCATCTCATATGACTTGCGTATTGCTGATGACGTAGCTAATTCAGAATTTAATATTTTAAGAACTGAAATTTTTCTCTTGGTGAGCTTCCATATTGGTTAACTGCGCACTTTTTCTTCAGCTTTCTTGCCGTTAAAGCGCTACTTCGCTCGCTGACGTGTCGCTTAGCCTCTGCTACCTACTGTCCATTGTTCTAAAAATATAATCTGTATAAAATTGTGGGGTGCATAGCCCACCCACAATGATTTACAATGAAAAAGAATATGTGTCGTGAGAATTGATTATCAAGGAATAAAATTATCAGTAAAGCCTGTCTAAGTTATTACAACGTAAAGAACCATCGCCATTCCGTTGCAGCTTTCTCCAAGTCATCCAGACACACATGCGCACACCATCAGATACACATACACCTAGATGTGGGTGCATGTTTTTGTTTCGACAAAAATGGAAGGTGCTGAACTAGATGTTACTGCAATCCCATTAACAAAATTTCAACATTCTACGGCTAATTGTATTTAAATTATGCGGCATACGTACATACGACCATAAAGATATCACGAAAAAATCCCTTCTGACCCTTTTAGCATCCATTTTGAAAAAAAAAAAAAAAAAAGGTGACCTTTACTCTGACCGTACGTACACATGTGACGCAAAAAAATCGTTCAAATTGATTCAAGAGCAGTCAATAGTATTTTAGTTGAAATATGATACCCGAAATTTTTCGGGGTTACAGTACTACCTTTACTTTATACAAGGAATTAAAAATAAAACACTTTTAATCCGCTTTTAACACTCAGCTTGGAACAAACTATTAGAAATGATACCGAGAAGCTCAGTCATTAATTGCATGGAAAGGTGCAAATACACTGTAAATAAAAAATTAGAACAATGAAAAAATAAAAGCTATTTACATTCTTTCCCACATCATCGTCAGGGCGTGAAATTAATGAAACAGCCTTTTTCTGAACTGTTAATGACACAGATTTATAAAAAATAAGTAAAATATTTTTTAATTGACGAACATATATGCCTACGACAGGCGATTGGGGAAATAAAGGTCGAATCAGGACTTTTGTGTTAACGCTATTATACTGAAAAGTATTAGAGAAAGAATTCTAATTCTCTGAAAGTTTTGCATTTTAAATGGTTTATTGAACATCGTTTTTGTTTTTATTTTGTTTTAGGTTGCCGCGATGTTAAAGGACGTAGTGTTGTTGTCATCTCCAGCGATGCGGTCAAAGATAGCCTTCAGTTGTCTTCTTGTCACTTGGCTCAGTTGTTGTTGTACTTCCACACCATTCCCAAGTAAGTACAAAAGTAAAGTTTATTTCACATTTGGTAATATTCCTTTGACTTTCCTAACATTTATTTAACTTGAGTAACATTCAGTTAACTTTTCTTACTTTCGTTTCACTTTTTTAATATTTGTCCTTGCTTTCAATTGCTTTCACTTTTTATTCTATTTTCCTAGTAGTTGTTTAACTTGTGATATTCCTTTCACTTCCGCAACATTCATTCCATTTTTTTATATATTTATGTGACTTTGGCAACATTCCTTTCGCTTTTAATTTCATTTTCTAATATTTATTTGGCTTAAGCAACATTTTTCTTGTTTTTGACACATGATTGAATTTTCTCAGGACTGCAGTGATTCTTTTTGGAGCTTAATCTTTATTAGTAGTTAGTTAGTTAGTTTCTGTGATTAAATAAAATCAATTACATGTAAAAAAAAGAAGCTCCAAATTTGTTAATTGGGTCCTTAGTTTTCATGATTAAGTAAAATCTTTCGCATTTACAGAAAATAAAAAAATAAAAAAAAAAAATCCCTCGAAGTTTGTAAGTCAAACCCTGATTTTTATCTTAAAATCATTTTCAGACAAAAAGAAAAAAAAAAAAAAAAAGAAAAGAAAAAGAAAAGAAAAGAAAAATATCGCACTTACTTTGTGATTCTCCTGTTTTATAAATCAAACTTTGGATTTGTGATTAAGCAAAAACGTTTACATTAAAAAAAAAAAAAAAAAAAAAAAAAAAAAAAAAAAAAGGTATCTGAAAGCTTTCAGATTTTATATTACGCCCAAAGGGAGTTTTTTTCACATGGAATTCAAAACGGGATTTAAAAAGTAATACAGACAGACATTCGACGCAAATTACCGTTAGACATTGTAACTTTTTGCGTTTCTACGCTAAAATACCAGTAAGAAATGTAAAAAACCTCACGCATAAAATATCCGTGTCTGAAGATGTATACGATATTATTAATGTTAATGGAACGCTCTGAAATGTTTGAGTTTGTTAATCAAAAATTCGTTAAAGTTTACAAAATATGAAATAGATAATAAAACACATTCCAAATTCCCAATTTGGCCCTCCAGATGCCCATATTCAAAACTTGATGTCTCTAGGTATTGTTGTTTTTTCACAGTGCGAGAAACATACATACATTTATGTAGATTCTTCATTATTTAATTTCTTTAAATATGATGCTGGACTCTAATATTTGGTGGCAACAGTTTCAAAAGTTAGTCAGACTTTTAGTGAACCAATGCAAAATCTCAAAAGGAAATTAATAGCCCTTCTGGACTAACGACCTTTGGGCTAAAAAAGTGAAAAGGAAAAAATCACGCTTTTGTAAATTGGGGGCCTCGTTTTGTGATTGAGTTATAACCGTTTACAGATAAAGTAAAAACAAAAACATCATAGTTGATTTGTGATTCTCCAGTTTTATAAATTGAGCCCTGGTTTTGTAGTTGAATGTAATCGTTTTCAGATAAAAAAGTAAAAAGAAAACATCGCAGGTAATTTGTGATTGTTCCCAGAACTCCGTTATTGTTAATCCAATTTTATGATTAACTCTTTTGCAGATAAAGAGAGTATAAAAACAGAAACATAGTTCCGATTTCGTAAATTGAGCCCAGGTTTTGTGATTGAGTAAAATCGCTTTCATGTAAAGAAAAGTTTTTAAAAAAAAAGACATCTGTGGTTTTTCTAGGTCTCTGGTTTGTTAATCGGACTGTAGTTTTCGTGATTAATTAAAATCCTTTACAGATAAATAAAAAACAAAAAAGTCGCCCCTGTTTTATAAATCGGGCATTTTCTTTTGAGATTGAGTAAAATCCTTTACAGATAAAAAAAAGTAAAAGAAAACATCACATTTTTGATTCTGCAGTTTTGAAAATCGTACATTTGTTTTTAGATAAAGAAATTAAAAAAGGGAGAAACGCAGCCTTTAATTTTTGTGAATAGATCCCTAACTTTGTGACTGAATAATAGTTTTTATGAATAATAAAATTAAAAAAGAAGCACATTTGTAGGTACTTTGTGAAATTAGGAAAGAAAAAAGAGTAAAATCACGTCAATTCTATTAATCGGGTGGGTGTATTCGAACTGCGCTAATGAAAATCCCCCCCGGGTCGAGCCATAGTCCAACTGCGCCAATCAGAATTTCTTTCCCCTGCTGCCTACAGGGTTATAATTTAACTTTTCGAAGCCAACTGTAGCCAAGAGGAAAATAAAAAGAAATAAATAGAATTACATATCACATGACCAAGTAAAAAACTATCTAACAAGCAGGCTAGTTACTTGAATAACAGTAATAAATGCGAGAGCTAACAAAGAAAATAAAAGGTATTGGTAAACATACATATTAGCATTACAAACATCTTTCATTTATGATAATAATATCATAAATTAAATAATTATAAAGCATACAATTTATATTTTTAATAAATTACATCAATAATAGTCAAAATGTCTGAACTAGACTGGAAAATTTAATAGAGTTCACTAGCGTGCAAAAAATTATTTCATATCAAAGTGTGTTAAAGTGTGCTAAAAATATTTTTTGTTAATTAAAGTAATCATGTAAATGTTTGCAGAAATTAAATTTAGTTAAATTTAAAAAAAGCTTAGCATGAAATCTATTATAACAACATTACTATGCATTTGGAACACTGACCTATAAATTGAATTAAATTTAAATTAGTTATGCTTAGAAGTTTTTTCATAAAATTATCTAGAAAAAGGAATTATGATAAACAATACTGCAATTTAATATAATCAGTCAGGCCTCTCAATAAATAAAAGTTTATTTTTTTAACCAAAAATTAAAAATTGCGATGCAAAAGTTTGAGTAATATACTTGGAAATATCTGAACATATAATTAATTAGAAATGTATAATTAAATTAATAACAAGCTAATTAACAGTAACATTAAGCTTAATTTCATTCAATCTAAAACAAGCAATCGATCAGGAGCTCCGCATAACTGAAGTTTTAATGCTATTTTACGTAGATTTGCGTATAAAATAAAAGTTGCACTTGTGAAACAAGTGAATTAATGTAGTGATAGCCAACAGGAATTAAAATACAGTGGTTAAAAATATAGCAACTTGTCAGAAGGTATGCAAAGTTGCCATGGCTAGAGAAATTGAATGATTATAGAAAACTCATAAAGTTAAGCGCTACAGTGTGAAAAGAAAATTCTGGAATAAACATGATGGGGAAATAATCCTTAATTTATTGATATCCATATAAAATCTATGCTTTTGGAAAAATGTTACATATAATTTGCACCGAGGTATCAATCACCGAAACTGAGTTAATTTCTTTCCTTATTTTTTCTTATTAGAGGGATTTGTAAAAAGATATGCTAAGGTAAAGGTAAAAATTTTTGCAATACTTTTAAAGAATAAACTAAAAAAGTATTTTTACTTCATGAACTGAAATTTTTACGCTACATTTTTATACAGTAAATAAGTACAAAAAAAGAAAGAGCTGGGGGATCACTGGGACTAGAAACTCGGGTCGAACTACCAATGTTTAGTGGCTTTTCCACAAGACCTTTTGAAATTAGGCTGAACAATATATCAAAGAAAATAGAAGATACAGCACAGGTAAGAACAAAAGTGGGCTGAATTAGAGATTTACATGTTTGGTGAATGAGTTAAGCTTACCTGTATGCCATTATGAAATTTTAGGAATGTAGCATAAAAGCATGAGTGAAGAAGGCAATGGCAATCTAAATCATTGTAATCTAAATTTATATTATTATGAGTATCTGCTATTAATTTCAATACTGCTGAAAAAATTGTAAATGAATTACATTATAAATCACATGAACTCGTTGCATTATAAATTAAAACAGAAATATTATTAGCGTGATTTAGCGACCATCTTTGTTAACAAATAATTTCAAGTAATTAATTTTACAAATAATTCAGCCTGAAACTAGGTTGGAAAATAAGCTACATGCTGAAGATTAAGCTTTGCCAAGTATTAGAAACATCTTCTGTTAACTAGAGTTGTGATGCAAGAATTTGTAAAAATTATCATTTAACTATAATAATTACATAAATAATAAATTGACATAAATACAATACAAAAGTATATAAATTCTACATACATGAAAACTTGAGTACAGTGCAACAATGTGTGAAAAAGGAAATGGATTAAAAGGGAACTGAAAATCCCAGGATATGAATATAAGGGAGTTGTTGTTGTTGTTTAAAATTTTTGCTTTTGTTAATTATGAAAATTCTGCTGACGCTCATAATTATTAATTTATTAATTAAATGTGTATTAGAAATTAAATGTATGCCAAAGTACATCAGGTGGAAAACAGAATAAATATTTAAACGTTTCTAGTATTAAAATATGGAATTTGTAAGAAAGTTAAATAACCTTAAAATAACTTCAATAATTAAATATGGAAAGTTTAATACGGGAATATATTGCAATAATATTAGTGTGAATTTAGAACGACTTAAGAAGTCCAATTTTTAGATTTAATAAAAATAATTTTTATAATTAAATTAGAACTGTTTACCTAAAATGGTAAATTTGAAAGTTAAAACCATTCTGCTATCTAAGAAGATTTGTTAATATTTATCTAGACAAGAAACTTATTTAAGGTGAGCTACAGCTACAAATCCGATATTTGATACGTTGGATTATGTATTAGTTTTGTGTATGTCATTAATCTATCAATTTAATCGATTCAAAACTGATATATATTATCAGTTTTGATATATATATATATATATATATATATATATATATATATATATTTCCTAAACAGTATTGATTAATTGATTATATTATCTCCTAAGTTTAATTAAAGTAGAATTATTTTAAAAGTGTGCATCCATACTGGTAAGTTATATTTTGAAAGATGTTTTGAAGTTATTTGAAAGCAAAATGTTAATAATGTTTTAACGGGGACTGGAGTTAAATCATCACGAAGAATAATATTTACAATTGTAAAAGTAAAAAAAATTAAAACATGTAATTATTGTCATTGATCGGA